CCACCCTCAGACTGCTCTCCCTACCTGCCTCTTCAATGTTGGGATCCCCCCCCACCCCGCCCATGCTCTGTCTCCAAACCTCTGCTTTTCCTCCCCTGCACAGCCTCCCYGGCAAGCTCACTGTCAAGGAGCCAAGACTCCCAAATCACACCTCCTGCTCCTATCCTCCCTGGAGCCAACTGCCTGGAAAGCTCCTCTTCCTGGTGCTGCMAGCACTTCAAACTCTAAGGTCTTCCTAAGCAGCTCCTCCTAACAGGTGAGAAATAGGTGACAACTGGGACCTGGTCTGAAACCTGGGATCCATTCTACAGTCCTCCTATCTCTTGCCGGCACCGGCACTGCAAAGCAGACACTGCTGTTTCTCCTCTCCCTCCCCACTGCCTTTGTCTTAGCACCCTGAGCACCATCAAAAGAGCTTTTTATCTATGGCCCCTGCCAGAAGTCTCACCCTCTCTAAACAATTCAGCTCCACATRCTGCAGGCTTTCAGGCTTACTTGACCACGGATTCTCCTGCGGAAAAAATTCCTCAGCTACCCACCCCATGGATAAAATATCAGTTCCCTTCTGCAGCATACAAAATCTTTGTGGATCTTACACCAATGAGCAAATGAGAGTGCACCTCCTTCCAGATTCTCCGCTCCTTAGGCTTAGCACTTCAGCAGACTGACCTACTAGTTCCCAGAATGCTCCACATTCTCTGGTCCTCAGCTTTTGCACATGCAGTTTCCTCTGCCTGGAATGTGGTCGCCTCCATTGTCCACTCAAACACCTCTTCCGCTGTGACAACCCCCAGGTAAACAAACCGAATCCTCCCACCGCATGCTGACAAACGCCCTTCCCCGCAGCTCCAGTGAACCAGGTGCTGTTAGGGTCTGGCCAGCACCCAACAAAAAAAATGCCTTTGTGAGCTAGGACCCTGGGTTACGCTTCTCAGGACCACGGCACCTAGAAGAGTCCTACACCAGCGGCTTTAGGAGTCTCAATTCCTCATCAGTAAAAGGAGGATAATAAGAACCCCCCAGCCCCCAAGACCACCTTGMAACTTTCACAAGACACGACGTCTGGGCTGGGTTGCAGCCCAGTGGTAGCGCGCTTGCCTACCGTGCGCCGTGCCCTGGGTTCGAACCCCAGCACCGAACAAATAAACAGCTGGCCAGGGTAAACATGCACAAAAGGCTTTAATAAAGGCTTATTTTGACATTAAAAGCAACAGGCGGAAGGACTGCGAGAGGCTGCGTATTCTCCACTTGATCCGCTTACAGCCCAAGCGTCCCCAGCTCTCAGACGGGGTCATAACTGAAGCCGCCTCTTTGGGGTCCCAAGGAGGACGCCGGCTGCACGGGGTCGGCGCAGGAGGACAGCTCGCGCGCTAGCCCTGCAGCCGCCTAGGGACCAGAAGCACGGCCTTCGGGGGACAGGGCGTGCGCGGGGGGCGCCCAGGGCGKCCCGGCGCGGGTCCGCGGCTTCGCCGTCCCCTGGGGCTCCTCCCTCCGGGGAGCCAGGCGACCCCACCGCTCGCCTCCCCCGCGGCCGCCGGCCACAGAAAGAAAGGCCCCGGGAGGCGGGAAGCGAGGCCTCACGTGGGGCGCTGCGCCCGCGCCGAGGGACGGCCAGGCTACTCACTGAGCCACAGCTCCAGCGCCGCCGCCGGGCCTGGGGGGCCCTCAGCAGACTCGGTCCCGGCCGCCGCCCCTGCCCCCGCAGCCACCGCCGTCGCCGCCATGGGCCAGACCCCGCTGCAGTGGCMGCAGCCTCCCCTGCCCCTTAGCTGCTGCCGCCTGGCTCGACCCTGGGCTGCCGACGCGGCAGGCGCAGAAGGCCACGTGACGGGGCGTGGTCAGGCCTGGACCCGCCCAACCCAGGCCCCGCCCCCATGCGGGCTCGGGCAAAGGAGGACATCTCGGGCTCCCCTCACCACCTCTCTGGGTCTCCGGAGCCCGCCGGCAAGGTCAAAGTCAAATTAACCTTGCATGGCCTGCAGAAGTAGGGGTGCCAGATAAAAGGCAGGACAAATAATCATCCTTTTAGCATTTTTAATCCTGGAGGGTCTTCCCAAACTACCTTCTCCTCCCTCGCACCGTCCCCCACAAACCCTTGTTTTCTCCATTACACTATCGACTTATCAGACATCTATTTTGCGAAAGGACTCTAAATAAGGGAACCAAGCAGATGTTATCATCTGTCCACAAGATAAGTCAAAGGGCTAATTTTTACAGAATAATGGGCTGTTGAAACAAATGTGCAAGTTTCACAAAACCGGCTTTCCCCCAATGCTGAGAGCTGTCCTTCCAGCAGACAGAATTAATCCGCATGTCTACAAGCCAGAATTATTTTGTATTGCCACCAGCCATCTACTACTTAGAGGACTGCCAGACTTCTTTGATGAAAAGCTAGACCCTGGCAAGGTGAGCAGTCCACACGATGCCCAATTTTCCACTGAAGGGGGCTGGGGATATAGCTCAGTTGGTAGAGTGCTTGCCTTGCGTGCATAAGGCCTGGGTTCCAATCCCTGGCAACACACACACACACACACACCAATCTTCCACTGAAGTACAAAATCTTCCCTGCAGTCCCTTACCTATTTCACCCCACTAAGCAGGAACCTTAGTCCAAAGAGCTCTGTACTTCAGGACCCTCCATAATKCCTGACATATCAGGCATTACTGTATAAGTACTTGTTGAATGTGCAAATGAACAGTGAAAGCAATGAATACACAAACTAAGTTTAGAAGGACATTTCCTGTGCTACTGAAGCCAGATTTAAAGTTAGGTAGTCAGTGTAGTTAGGTAAATCGGGTCTAATATCAAATGAGATTTAAAATGGAGGCCACTTGGAGAATGAATTCTGGGAAAAATTGAACAACACTTGGAATGTTAATGAAGTCCTGGAAAAGCCCAAGGCCAGAGCCCATCCCAAAGAAGTGTTAATGAACAGCCCCCAGCAAACTTGAAGATGCTGACTTAGAAGTCCTTCCTGCCCAGATTACTTCTTTGACCCACCTGTGTCCAACCCCTCAGGCCTTCCCACCTACATGCCATCACTGAAAGAACTATAAAAAGGGGAGACAACCGCACTTCCATGGATTCTATCTCTTGGGTCCCCTTCTTCCTCTGGGAGAAGTCTTTTCTGCTGTCCTTTAATAAACTTCTAATTTCCACTCTGACCTTGCCTCAGGCGTGCTTCTCTAGTGTTATATTTCAACCTTGGGGAAGCAAGGACCGTCACCGTCACCGGTCAACAGCGGTAACACTACCTTAATTCCAAAACAAATCCCCTACCCACACATATTCCCATCTGTTCATAACGCCCTTCAACACTGAAAATTATGAAACTACACTGAATGACATATGATTGGACTGTTTACTGTATGTCAGATCCTATGCTAAGTACTTTGCAGTTATTGGTCTTAGTGGATTCAAGCTACTATAACAAAATGTCAGACCAGTGTCTTTTTTTTTTTTTTTGGTACCAGGGATTGAACCCAAAGGCACTGAGAACCGTGCCACTGAGCCTCATCCCCAGCCTTTTTTTATTTTTTATTTTGAGACCGGGTCTCACTAGGTTGCTTACAGCCTAAATTGCTGAAGCTGGCCTCAAACCTACAATACTCCTGATTCAGCCTCCCAAGCCGCTTGGATTACAAGCATGTGCCACCACACCCAGCTACACCAGTGTCTTAAATAACACACATTGATTTCTGTCAGTTCTGGAGGCCGGGAGGTCCAAGATCAAGATGGCAGCAGACTGGGTTCCTGGTGAGGGCTCACTTCTTGGTTGCAGATGTTCACTTTCTCAGCGACTTGCTCATACGAATTTTAAGGGGACACAATTCAGTCTATAATATCACCCATACAGGGAAAATTTTACTTTAATTTTGTAAATTTAACTGTACTTTAATAATGAAAATTATGTATGTATTGTTTAAAGCATACCCTCTTATGTCACCTGATTTGGGTTTGGGGAAAAGAATTTTACATCTCTGTAAACTGTAGGTAACTGACACCAGTGGAAAATTATTTCTCTCCATGGACATGCAAATGAATACTATCCTGGGAACACATAACCCTCTTCCTGTGGAAAAACCAGTTTGGCCTCCATTTGCACAAGCATTTCCATATCCCTGATTTATAACCTGTTCTCTGGATTCTCCTTTGAACTAGTTTTAACAGCTCATCAATTTCTTCATTAATGAGCTAAATAATGCTTTTAACGCACATTAGTCTCTTGAAAATTCTAAACATCTGGCAACATTGGATCTGGTTTTCCTCCTTGCACCAAATACCTAGAAATGTCAAGAGGCTGCAGTTAGAAAGAACGGTTCTCTAATTGCCAAAGACTACCCTTCACTTCCTGAGTATTTCTTATACTTATTACTTACTCTAAGTACCTTCAGTTATTTAACATTTTGACATCTACATCAGTGTTTTTCAGACTAACATGTATCAGAATTATCTGGAGGGCTTGTTACAGATTGCAGGGTCCCGTCCCACATTCTCTAATGGAGTAGGTTTGGGYTGAGGCCCCAAAATTTATCTTCCTAAAATAGATTAAAATAAAGGAAATGGAGAAGGAAGGATAGGATAACATAAAGATAAAGGGAAAATGGGTACTGCAGAAGGAGATGAGAGGTAGAGTGGAGGGATGGTAAGAGGAAGCAATGTAGAACCAACATTTTTTTTTTTTTTTTGGTACTGGGGATTAAACTCAGGGGTACTCGACTA